GCTGGCAAACACGTGTCCTGCACCAGATCCCAAGGGTCTGTCCTGCTCCAGAACCCAGTGTGGGAGGAACTTGGGAAGATGACAACATAAAGCTGAATCCCTCGTGACTGCAGCTCTTGGGCTTTCAGCTCGAGGCAGCTTGGAAGCTGCATTAGATGCTAAAAAATTTGCTTTGGGGATCAAGGAAGTCAATTTTCCTTGAGAACTTCACCCAGAGCAAAGTTTTGACTTTTCCAAAGGAGGAGAAACAACATAAAAACAAGCATATACTTACCAATCAAAGGGATCTAAGGAGTTCTGCCCAAGAGGGTGATGGGGTTGGGTCAGCACTGCACTCGTGTCCACGCTGGTCTTCAGGGCTGGTACCACAACCCCTGGAAGGGCACTGAGCTCTGTGTTCTCCACACTGGGCTCAGCTGGCAGAGCCCTAGACCTTCATATGCTGTTGTGAATCCAGGCCTTACTATTTTCCTTAAAAACACAAGGTAAAAAAAAAAAACCCAACAAAAAAACACCACCCCAGTGTTACGGTAATTACAAGGAGGTTTAACACATGTCTCGATTTGCATGAATTAAATCAACAGGGAAGCTCCAATTGGGTAAATGAGGTTTGCTGTGAGCAGCAGCAGCAGCAGCAGCAGTGAAGGCTGCAGAAGGCTGAGGCTGGGAACTCCAGTTCGCTGCATGGATGTGCAGAGGGATGGGGAGGGATCTGCCGGCTGGAAGGGGCTTCCCAGGAGGGGAGGGAGCCGCAGGCAGGATGAGCTGGGGGTGGGGAGGATGAGGAGAAGAATCTCAGCAATAAAATGTGAAGAGCTCCAAGGAGGGTCTGTGCTGGCACTGTGGGATTGAGGCCACTCTGAGCACGGAGATAAGCCGTGGGGAAGAGGAATGTGTCCATTCATATCCCAGCCATGCTGCAAGCACAGCTGTGAGGGGAATATAAATGGGCAACGGGGCTTTTTTTTTTATTCTTAAAGCCACCGGTTTGAATACTGGAGCAGAGCAGACACACTGGAATGCTTGGCTGGAAGTCAGACACACACACATACACATCTCTCTGGGGCATGGGATGGATGGAGGGAGGGAGGGAGGGATGGAGGGAGGGAGGGCTCAGCACAACCAGAGTACAAAGGTCAGAAATATCTCAGCAAGGATGAAAGAAAGCACAAGCTGGACAGAGTTCTGCTTTCTTTGCACGGTAAGATAGAGAGAGGGAGGGAGGGATGGATGGAAGGATGGAGGGATGGATGGATGGAGGGAGGGATGGATGGAGGGAGGGATGGAGAGATGGAGGGAAGGAGGGAGGGATGGAGGGAGGGAGGGAGAGATGGAGGGATGGATGGAGGGATGGATGGATGGATGGATAGATGGGCTAATAACCCATAGGTGGATGCCCCCAGGGCAAAATGTCATGGTGTTTTCTTCCCATGTCCCTGAGAAACACAATCCATCTGTGGATAAAACACGTGGGATTTAGGGGTATAAAACACTAGTTCACATTCAAACCCAAAGTTCTGTGTGGGAATGACACCCAGAGCTGAGTCTGGAGGGCTGTGGAGGCAGATCCCATCATAGGATAAGCTTTAATTCCTGCTTTTTTTCACCAGAAAACCTCCCAGCTTGGCACAGGCAAGTGTGGAGCAGCTGGGACACCCCAAAGACCAGAGGGCTGTCCCCTCGAGTCACTGTCCCCAGGCTGGTGGCAGGGAATGATGCTCCATCCCTGTCCACAACCAGCCTGGGAAGCACTGGCTCCATCAGAGCTGTCCCAGCCCCTTCCTTTCCCACCTCTCAGGCCCAGCAAAGCAATCCCAGCAAGTTGGGACATGGGGATGTGCTGGTTTTGGCTGGGGCAGTTAATTTCCTTCGCAGCAGCTGCTCTGGGGCTGTGTTTGGATTTGTGCTGAACACAGGGTTGGTAATTCAGGGATGTTTTGCCATTGCTGAGCATCACTTGAACAGCATCAAGGCCTTTTCTGCTCCTCATAGCACTCCCAGTGACCAGGCTGGGGGTGCATGAGAAGTTTGGAGGGGACACAGCTGGGACAGGGATATCCCAGCCCAGACAGCTCATGCTCAGTCTATAAAGTGGGAGGAAGAAGCAGAAAGGTAGGACATTGGGAGTGATGGAGTTTGTCTTCTCAACTCACTATTAGGCTGAACCTCTTCCTGCCCATGGGAAGTGGGGAATGAATTCCTGGCTCTCCTTTGCTTGCACACACAGCCTTTGCTTTCCCTATTCAACTGTCTTTATCTCAGCCCACGAGTTTCCTCACTTCTCCAATCCTCTCCCCCATTCCTCTGGGTGGGAGTGAGCGAGAGGCTGCGTGGGGCTCGGCTGCAGCTGGGATTAAACCATGATAGGGAAAACACCTTCCTGGTGGGATACACTGGGATTTGTGCTGCATCTTTCACACACACTGCCTCCAGCCCCGAGGCTGGAGCATGAAACGGGGATCTGGAGCAAAGCACTGCTTTGGAGAGAGCCTGACTGAAGAGATGGCTCCAGGCTGGATTTCAAAGCAGATGCAGTGAGTCAGTGAATTAGGAAAACGCCTGGAGAGGGCTCCTGCACCACCACATCCCACAAGGAGCAGGGAGTGCTGATGGAGCTGGGCGAGGAGGGTGTCCGCCCTGCTCAAGTGACCCCAGGGCTTTTTTGAACTCTTTATTCTGGCAGGATTTTCCTTCATAGGCACAAAAAAAAATTGGGAATGTGGTGCTGGCCAGCTCTGGAGCAAAGGGATGCAGGGAAAGGAAGGATATCTGCCTGCTCCCCCAGCCCCACAGGCACTGGGGATGGGAATAAGCAGCTTCCTGTGAAGTAAAGGGTTAATGAACCTTCTGAGCAGAATCAGTTTCTGCCACCTCCTCCCGAAAGCCTTTACATAAGAGTCTTGCAGAATTTATAGCCTGTCTCAGCTGTGCCACCACCGTGCTGCTCCCCTGTGGCTGCCACCGCCGATCCCTGTCCCTGCTAATTCCAGGAGGAAAATGGGATTTGATTTCTGCACCAGTCACTGTCTCTCACTGTTAAAACGGGACCTGACGGGCTCTGTCCATCCCCTCTGGCTCACCCATACAATTCATCACACTCATCGACCTTGAATGTCCCTCACCCACCCCCAGCACCACAGCAGAGCCTGTCTCCATGGGCTGTCACCTCCAGCCTGCTCCCAGGGCTGGAAATGGTGCTTAAGGTGTAAGATATTGAAAAATAAAGAGCTAGAAGCCTTAAAAGCAGCAGCAGGGTCCTGCTCACATCAGTCCTTTGTGTGTCACTGGGGAGTGGAGGAGATGTTGAAAGATGATGTCTCCTGCTGGAGGGTGTTCTCTGCTGGAGGATGTCCTTTCTGCTGGAGGATGTCCTCTCTGCTGAGAGTGTCCTTTCTGCTCAGGGTGTCCTCTCTGCTGGAGGATGTCCTCTCTGCTGGAGGATGTCCTCTCTGCTGCTGCACAGTGCTGTGCCTTCCCCTGAGGCCATCCCAAAGCATCCTCAGCCCTAGGACTTGTCCCCAGCTAAAGGGCTGGGGCCACCAGCAAGGCAAGGACGTGGCCATCACAGTGACACAAACAACTCACGTCCTGGAGGAGTGAGACGTTGCATTTCCATTCCCCTTTCTTCCCCTGGGAAAGGGCTTTGCTGACACCCTGAATATCACTGGGAAAGGAACAGCACATGCCACCTAAATCCTCCCTCCTCCAGCCTTGGCACCCCAGGAAATCCTGCCTCCACACAGCCCTAGGAGCTGTTTGCATCTTCTCTCTGGGATGGCAGGAGATGGAGCAAAGCTGGAGCTGCCTCTGCCATCCCCCAGCGCGTCCCCCAGCTGGAATGCCACACTGTGGCAGGGACAAGGCAAAAGCAGATGGTGTGGCAGGAGTCTGGATGCTCCCAGCAGCTGCTGAGGCAGTGTGTCCAGGATCCCTGCTGCCTCTCCTGCTGCAGTGCCAGGCAGGACCCCGGGGAGGGCTCCACGGGGTGAATCTCTGCAGCTTCACCAGCTTCAGCCCTTCCTCGGGATGGCTGAGGACTGCACCCCCCTTGCTCTAACATCTCAGGGGTGACCCAGGGATGTGCTGTAAGTACTTCCAAATGTCTCATTCCCACTGCCAGAATGTGCCTGTTTGTAGCAGTGTTGATCTCCAAGCTGCACAACCAGACTGGGCTGTTTTCCTTCTGTCATACAGGCTGATCCCAGTCCCTGTTTCACATCCCTGTGCTGCTGGGGTGCTCAGAGACACCTCCTTCCAGCCAGCTTGCTTAAAACCATCCTCTTTCTTTCTCCCTCCAGATTTTAGGCATGGAATCAGCAACCTAACCGGATTTACAGGACAATGACAGGATTTTCCTTACCTTTGTGCTTGGAGTCCTGATGCTGCATCTCCTCATGCTGGTCCTTTTAGCCATGGTTGAACTACTCACACCCCACAACAAATGATCCCCCCTGTCTGCTCCTGCCAGATGTCCCCAGATGCAGCAGATCCAGCCAGGCCCAGCAAGGGATTGATGCCCACCTATCCCACATGCAGGGTGTCCCCTTGGGCCCTGGTGACAGTGCTGAGACACTGGCACAGGTTGCCCAGAGAAGCTGTGGCTGCTCCATCCCTGGGAGTGTTTCAGGCCAACTTAAATGGGGCTTGGAGCAACCTGAGCTAGTGGAAGGTGTCCCTGCCCGTGCCAAGGGGTGGAACTGCATGGGCTTTAAGGTGTCTTCCAATCCAAACCATTTGAGGATTCTATGATTCTACGACAGCCAACTCAGTCTTTATCCCTGGGGATTTTATTCCCTTAGCTCCACAGGCCTCACTGAAGGCACATAAGCAGGGATGGCTCTCCTGGCACATTCCCTGAGCACCTTGGTCACCAGACATCCTACAGGCATGGTCTCCAGGTCCTGCTCTTCACATGGGCCCTCCTGCCCTTCTTGGTTCCTGCACAGCTCAATTTGGGCAAGAAGCAGCTGCTTTCCTGGTACCCAGTGACCTTGGAGCAGCTAGAGGTTGGAGCGGCAGAACGGTGCTTCAGGAACAACGGAGTCTCCAACACCTTCAAGGAGGTCATCCCACTGATGGAACTCTTCTTCCAGGTCTGCACAAGGCACAGATGGTGATGGGGTTACTACAGCCATCATCAACCCAACTTCAAGTGGAAAGGAGGAATAGCCACCAGGTCCCTTTGCTTTGGGAAGCACCAGCCCCAAGCCCAGGGAGGCAGTGACCACCCTGCAGCCCCCACAAGCCTCATGGGAGCTCTTCTGCCCTCCCAAGCCCTTGACCAACACACTCTCCACCCTGTGCCGTACTGAGGTGCCTCTGCAGGAAGGCCAGAACTGCCTGGATGGTGATGGTCAGAGCCTTGTGGGGGTTGAGGGTCCCCCTGGCGCCGAAGATGAGGCTGATGAGCTTCCCAGGGAGAAAGGCGAAGTCAGTCTGGCTCTCATGCACAGTTCCCCTGGGACAGGGAAGGGATGTGCCTTAGTGGGAGCTGGGAAGAGGTTCTCCTGCTGGGACACAGCTCGTAGGTGCTCCCAGGGGGTACCAGCAGGTGTGTGTCCCAACCCCTGACTCACAGGACAGTTATAATCTTTGTCTGGCTGTTTCTGGAGCTCAGCCTCTTCATCTTGGCAACACCTTCTGGAGTTTGGAACTTCTCAGTGTTGATGAAGAGCACAGGCTTGGGCACCTCTGGGTACAGCACGTTCTCCAGGGGGAACATCCAGGCATCAAGAGCCACAGCACACCTGCAGCAGGACAGACACCCACCACGGCTTCCCTTCCCACCAGGATCAATGTCCCTGAAGCCTCCACAGCTCCTCATCCCTGATGGAGCTTACCTGAATCTGGGCTCTTTCACCAAGGCCAGCACTGCTGTCACCCCACCAAAGGAATGGCCCATGACTACCACTTTGGTCAGATCAATGTTGTCCTGCAAAAAGGAGGTTAAGGAGCCTGTGCCCAAACCTCACTGCAGGTCTTTGTTCCAGGAGGAAAAGTCTCAGGCAACAAGGACTGCTCCTGCCACCAAAGAGCACCCAGACCCCCCATCACCACCCAGTCCCCCAGCAGCACAAACAGCCCCAGGTACCTTCAGCATGGAGAGATCCAAATCCTGGCAAAGGAGGTTTGGGACAGATTTCCCACTGGCAATGTCCGTGAAGAGCCGGAGAGCTCGCACACATTCCTCTGCCCTCTGATGGACCTGGGAGCCAGAGACATCCCTTCCCTGCTTATCCCAGCTCCTCCAACCCACAAACTTGGGGTCAGATCTTCCCCTCAGTGCCCATCCTTGTCTTTCCAGTGCTCAGACCTGACAGGGCATTCCCTGAGTTAGAGCAAACGTAAAGCAAGTGAGAGGCTGCACTGCTGCAGCTCCCACAGGGATACAGCGGATTTATTGGAATGGTTTCTTTGTTGTTTGCTTTTAATTTGGTCAATCTGATAGCACAGACGGCTGGAGATGAGCAAAAGCCTCTGCTCCAGGGAGGAAGCAGGGGAGGGAGAGCCCAGGATCCTCACCAGCTGCCCCCAGCCAAACCTGCTGAAGCCACACACTGGGCCAACCTGACTGGGCCAACTGGGCCAACCGGCCCAGACCTCCCAGCTCAGCCAAGCTGCCAGGAGCAAACCTGGGTGTCTCCCCAAAACCCAGCTCAGGGGCTCCATCCAGAAGCAGCTCAAAAGCCCAAAGAATTCAGGGGGAGGATGCCCTGATCCATGTCCTCTGCTCCCTGCAGGACACCAGTGCTGTTGGCTGTGTACATTTAAGCCAACAAGTGCCAAAAAACTCCAATGAAAACCTCTCTCCTACTCCCTGTAACACAGAAAATGCTGTAACCGAGGCTGACCTGGCAGCTACTTCCTTCTATTTATCATTCATTGCTCATTCACCTCCAACATTTAAGATCACATGTTGATCTTAATAAGAAAACTGTTTCCCTTGTCTGTGCAATGTGCCGTGAGACAGAGCATCCACAAAAATAACAGGCTGGGAGGTGATTTGAGGCTGCCAAAAGCACCTCCAGCCACTGTGGTTCCTAGAGAGCTTTTCTACCACTAATCTTGACTCACTGTTGTCCTTTTAAACGAGGCAGAA